TTAATTTCTTCCATACAGCCTCCTGAAGCGCTGACGCACACTGTCTTTTCCTCACCTCAAATGAATGAGTGAAGAGAATGAGCTCAGAAAGCTGTGGGCACAGTACAGTGTTTTTGAAATTATGTTTTTTTTTTCCCCTGGCATTAAGATGAGTCTGAGCTGACCTGTATCTGTCAGAAATGCAGGCTCCATACAGCAGCAGAGGGCCTTTATACTTATTTTCTAGGCAGTAACAAGAATATTGTTGGTATTTTGGTAGAAACGAGCAACATACCTTACAAAGGTAACCAGCTGAGAATAAATTTGGCCAACAACCTTTGAAGATTCTCATATTTCACTGCAAAACTAGTCAGTCAAACCTTAGCTATGAGTGTGAAATGCTAAGCAAATAATTATTTGCCTGTGTGCTTGAAACAAATTCTTGTGGTTTTAGATAATGACAAAAAAAAAATTGAGATAAGAAAAGCTTTTTTCAGACATTAGATGTTTGCATGCAGATGTAAATAGCTCACTTCATCTGTAATATATGTAGGTTTCCTGCGTGCCTTGGAGGAAGGAGTAAGAATTTGAGTTTCATCTCTTTTCATACGCTGCCCTAACCAGGGGGACTTTGTGGTCTGGAAGCACTAATGAAACAATCTGTCCACTTTCCCCAAGGTAAGCTTTATATTACGTTTCTTGCACAGAGGGATGTGACTGACTGACTGGCATGTTTATTAACTAGTTGACTATCTCGCTTGCCAGAAGCGGGGCAGAAGTGTAAGTGTTGAGCTGCTGAGCCTTAAGTAAGTTCACCTTTTCCAGTTCTTCCACCATTTCACTGGCTTTATCACTAGCCTGATCATTTTCTCCCCAGTTAACACACCCTTATATCAGTAGCTCCTATTAGCATTTTCAGCTGAGCACTGACTAGTCATATTTTCATGAACAGCTTCAATTTAAGTTTGTAGGGCCTGTTGCAGTAGTTGACCTACCATGGAATCAGTAGGGCTGATTTCCCCTGGCAGCCCTTACTGTAGGTACCAGGGGACAAGCCTGCACTTCAGCTTCCCCTCTTCCCAAAGCAGAAATACCACACCGAGTTGTAAAGTACGTTAGGGTTTGAAAGGATGCACGTTCCACCTACCAAACGAGCATGTTGAGGGTCCCGTCCCGTTATTTAACATCATACTACAATCATAGTTCAAAGCAGCTTAAGGCTCGAGTTAGGCAGAGGACACAGGTCATCCTGTTAATGGTGGTTGGGAGACCTTGCTGAGCCCCACAGACTCAGGGCAGGGAAGGGAGGCTCCCATGCCCTCTGGCACTGCTGTGGTCCAGTTCCAGGGCTGCAGCTGGAGCAACAAGAAGTGTCTTCCAGCCTTCCTCCCCACTGGTGGGACAGCCATGCCCCTGCCCTGCACAATGCCCAGGGAGCATGGGGTCTCCAACTGAGGTGCTCCCTCACTGCCCAAAGACTCTCTCTCAGAGTAAGGCTGACAGCTGTTTATTTAATGAGGGATGCTACAAAAAAGCAGTTCTGTGTTTGAAGGGGAATGACGATTTTGATGTAGGCATGCACCCGGCCATCTCACTGATGAAATTCAGCATTACATCTGATTCCAGATACACACTGCCACAAAAAGTCTCACCTATTTCAGAAGTTTATATATAACCCATCCATCAAAAGTATCTGGAGGAAGTCCTGATGAGAGAAGAATTAGAATACAATAAACAAAAATACCGCTGGATTGACTGTGGTTGTACTGGAGGAACTCTGTAGACAGGCTTCCCTTTTTCCTCTGTCTTGCACTTATTTATGAAACAGGTGGAAATAAGGGTCACAGAAGTGGCACAATTTGATGCACTGTAATGGAGTATTTCGAAATACTTCATTAAATGAAATTATAAAACTTGAAGTGCCACAACCTGCCTGCACTCGTACCTTTTTAAAGAGAAATAAAGTCTCACTTTTAAAGGAAATTAAGCTCCAGACAGCTTTTTCACATTCTATATAAAGACATGGCAAATAATTTTCTTTTTTTTTTTTAAAGCAACTTGTCAGTGCAATCTCTATAAAGACAAGTATAAAAACAGATCATGTATTGCACAGTGTATATATTGAATTATCAGCCATCTTAGATGGCAACTGGTTCAATGAATGGGAATAAAAATGCTTTGTTCATAAGGCAGTTTGGTCACAGATTTATTTTGCAAAGCCAGCTAATAGTATGAAGATGACCTAACAGTCTAACAACAGGGTTTTTTTTGTCACAACATTGTGGCAGAAAGTTTTCAACTATTTGAACTGGAAAATATATCACTTCTTTTTTTATGCTGCTGAGCATTTGCATAAGCCCAAAGATGTGCCTCCCCCTAGTCTTCCGCAAAGCAACTAAACTGGCACAGCTGCCCCAGTTTTGAGCACCCAGGTTGGAAATGGGCTTCTCTGGTCCTGGCTTTATCCTTCCCCCTCTACCTTCCCTAAATGGGGCTGGGCAGTGGCTCAGCCCCAGCCCCAGGGGTACCAGGAGACAGCAGGGGGACCCAGGCTGACCTCTCCATGGTGGCACACAACCAGGTAGCTTCAACCCATGGCAGAAAGGCATCCTCACCCATGGCTCAAATCCCTGAAGATTTAGCAGCAACTACTGCAGCAAAAGATCAGAGCTGTGAAAATTACAATGAAGTCTTCATCTTTTCTTCCCAAAACCTAATATTTTAATCTAAAATGTAGGTGGCTTTCAGGTACTGCACTGAAGACTCATCCCTGAATAGTTGGCCATCTCAAAAATCCACTGGGAGCTACAGCGCACTTGCTGTTGTACTTTCTTCACCTCCTGTCTGCCACAAGTTCTGCTTTTGCTGTATCAAAACGGGGATACAAGAGATTTAGTACTCTGAAATCAAAAAGCATTTACCATAAAGAAGACTATTCTGTTCACATGCACATACATACGTGGTTTTCTTTTTTAATTTGTAGAAGGCGATACAGTTGCTGAGCTCTTGGGGAAACAGACGCTACCTACACACACAGAGCAAGTGAACTTTTTTTTTTTTAAAGCAGCTGCCTTTTTCTTCCTGCTCCCATATGCAGTCACTAGTGAAACAAAAATATGTATTAAAACCCAAAAAGTACTATTTTAGAATGTTCTGAATAGTCTCTAGAGCTAGACAGATTTTAACATATATTTTTTTATTAAATATGTAAAAAGATAAACGCAAGTCAAGTTATTCACATATTCAGACAAAAGTCTACTCTACCATGCGACAAATTGTGGATAATGTAAGATGACTGATACATCTGAGTAAGACTTTTTGTATCTATTATGTCATTACTTATCTATTTATAATTAACAATACATATGTTTACATTCCTTTCAGTTTACATTTAATATAGAACCAAAGCTTTATGGTGTGCTATTTAGTAAAGGTAATTACAAATGCATATTAAAACCATAACGGAAGAATGAGTTACTCACAGGGAGTGGAGGAGAAGGACAAATCTTTCCCCTTGCAGAGCACTGCTGTCCCCTCTGCACAGCCAAATTTCTGGTGTCCATGAGGTACCCTACTGCCCCAGCTCCCTCCATCAGTCACTTCCCCCTTGATACAAGCAGTGAGACGACTAAGGTCCTCAGACCAAAAATAGGATACAAGGAATTTTCAGGAAATTAAGATCAGCTTTTTAATTATTTTTTTTTTTTTCCTCAAATGTGCTTCAAAGAGAGAAAAGGAGAGAGGCACAACAGCCTGGCTGTGAACTCTCTGGGGAGCTCAGCAACCCAACCATTTGCACCTTTAGAAAAACATTTTCTCTTGAAATGCTCTCCATGCATCTGCTCGAGTATTAGCAGAAGGATGAACTGCAGTAAGCAGGGACTGGTGCTGAAGAAATTAAGCTTATAGCCTGATCCCAAACTCCTTGCCCCATCAGAAATCCCATGCAGGTTAAAGGACATTCTGGAGACTGGAAAAAATTAGTAACTGCTCTTCAGTTCCACAGTATTATGAAGAACTACCGTTTATTACAATTACAATTGTAATAAGTACATATGTTCTAATAAACACAAATACAACAAAAATTACAATTCCCCCATTTGTGACGATTCTCAGAAATACTAATTTTGGAATATACACATTTTTATAAACCAGACCTTATTTGTAAGCAATCGAAATAGGAAAGGAAAGTGCTGGTCTGCAGGTTGCAGCACTTCGATTTCATCATCAGGCAAGAAGTGAGGTCAATGCTGGAGGCAGGGATGGAAAACCTTCAGCCCACAGGGTCTAAAAAACTCTTCTGCTGAGCAGGAGGAGTGATCAAGGAGCTGGAAATACCTGTTCTAATGCTTAACAGTATTTTATATATTGTCTGTGGTGCAACACAACAGCAGGGATCTCACATTTAACTAAGAGCCACTTAGCTGCAAAAGATTGATTAGGAACAGAAAACTGCACGTGCGTGTGTGCTGGGGGGATGATCGAATGGAAACCTTTCTATGGACATGTGAGCTGGGAACTTCTGCTTTAGGAGCCCACAAAGGTCTAAGATGATTTAGCTGTTCAACAGGCTTTTTTCAGTGACTGCTGACTGGGATGGGACCTCCATGTACCTGCTGAATCAGCACAACAATCCAGAATTCAGAAAATCGAGTGAGAGACCAAGAATACCGAGCATTAAATATTCAGAGAGACTACAATGCGCAGTTTTACAAGAAAAACAAGGAATGCTTTATACCCTTCAAGATACTTCTGTTTATAAAATACCATCATTTAGAACAGGGCGATGGGACCGCACTGGAAGGGAACACTCTCACTGCAGACATCTCCAGGGCAGATGTGTTCTGCACCGTGCCGGCCTCGCTGGAGGAAGGTCATCCAAGTGCAGAACCAGCTCTGTGCCCTCGGTCAGCTGTCCCTCTCTTGTCTGTGCTGTCTCCAGAAGGACTCCTCACTGCCTCTCCACACCTCAGAAGCAGCCTCAACACCCACGAGGTGCCTACCACCCAGTTACAGGGAGTTTGTGGGGTTTCAGGGCTACTGCTGTTGTTGGTTCTTCCCCATGCCTTGCACTAGTGAGGAAATTTTCTGTCTTCCATACTTGTATGGCCGGGGCAGCAAAGCGGGGGAAGGATAGCGAAAATAAATGGTTGGCCTACTTTGTCCTCTTCTGAGGGGTGGGAAGCCAAATATGATGGCAGAGATCATGTCCTGCAGCTACACTTGTGTCAAGGAGATTTGTCTCCTCCATTAGCACTGAGCTCTGTGGAGGCAGAGCTGAAGCTGGAGGCTGGGACTGGATTCCTCAAGAAGGAAGAAAAGCTGGGAAATGTCTATTGACTAGTCAGGAAACTGCAAGGGCTTTCAAAAAACTAAAGTGGATGTCTGTTCCTCCAGAAATAAGCCAAAAAACATACCATGCAGCTTTCTAACAATCTTCCTAACACAGGGGTTTAAATCTCTCCTAGTAAAACAGATGCTCTGCCTTCTATTTTGTGAAGGCAGGAAAGGAATAAACGTGAGCAACATGAGCATTTTCCTTCACAACACACCTCATCATTACGGCTTGAGCATGACTTCTACTGTATCCCTTTATTCCAATTGTTTGACCAAATTTATGCCTCGAGGCAGATGGACTAGAAAATGCAAAAGCACCACAAAGTGAGAGACACAGCTAGTGGTACGGTACTTCTTGCCACACAAAATGCCAATATAAATATGTTAGAACAAGTTACAAGTGTATCATACTTAAGACAAAAAAGAAAAAAAATAAATATATTTTTTTTTTAAAGAGCAGAACAAATCTCAAGCAGCCAAGTGGTGAAGTTGCAGTGATGTACAGTAGGTGATGTAGCCCTACAACCTCTTGGGAAGATACACTGAAAGAAGACGTCTGCAAATGCGTCTTGGCAAAGTATGGGTACAGAATGCAGTGGTTGGCTGGCACTCACTATGGTACGTAAATGTTAATGGCAGACTGGGAGTGAACTGATTTCAAGTTTGAGGCCACACATGTTCCGTTCTCCAGAAGAAAGTTCTCACACAAAACGAAAATTGTCAGAGACGCTGGGTGAGTCAGTACTCCTCCTGCTGCTGGGGCTGTTCATGGACTTGCTCTTCACCTTCATGCTCTTCTGTGTGGCTCTCCTGCAGGGAGAAAAAGACCCCACAACACTCTTCAGCAGAAAGCACTTCTCATGTAACCTTGCTGCCCCACAGTGCTCGCCATAGCCTAAAGCTTAGCTTCTCATTTTCATGCACAGAAGTACAAAATGAGCTGTAATCTGACAAAAACAGCATCTGGTAATATTACAATAAAATGTATTTTCTTTGCTTTTAATCAATGCATAAGCAGTACTGATACTTCTCCAGAGAGAGGGTCAGTTTTCAACATCCCTGAGTGTTAACTCTTGTGGTAAGTGAACTAGACGGTGAGAAGCTCAACAGTTAGATGCTGTATCACAGCATCCTGATGTCCTCCCATTTTCAGTTTGTCCAAGGATTTCTGAATGTGCCTGCTATAGTTTTCACACAATCGTCACTCTAGGTTTAGATCACTAAATGGACAAGACACTTTTGCTATCACCTGCTTTAAAAATTAAACTCAGCCTCCTTTTTGAGGTCAGATATACTACTATCCCAAAATAATATACTGATGCTAGACCAGAGTTCAAAGGTCACCAAAACAGCAATTTTTAGCAGTATCCGGAAAATATAACCAAAGACTTACAAACACATTTTCTGTGGAAAAAAACCGAGCCCCATATTCAGTCATTTACAGAGCTACTGTTGAAAGCACTAATTACTAACAAACACTTCCCTTCTGCAAATGGTCATTATGCACAGTATTTTCCAGAGTTATCTCTCTGGATATATATTGCCATTGTGTGAGGAATCCCTGAAGGAAAGGAAGGCTGGATCCTCACTGCAGGTGATACCAGTTTCAAACAATTTCCAGTTTAGAGAACAGATCTGGTATCTTGGCTGGGATGTGTCAGAGCTCAGAAAGGCTGGCTGACTCTTAGGGCATTACTTGCACATTCCCAGTAACCACAGCTGCATTTACAGCTTTTCTCTTAAGTGGCTTCCATCTTTCTGGAGCACGGTTCACTGAAAAGATCCCACACATCTACTCGCTGCCCTGCATTAGTAGCACTTTGCTGTAGGCAGCTCCGAAGGAAAACACTTATCCAAGAGACTGAGCTGCCATTCAAAACGCAGCATCCCTGATGCGGTACCTCCGCAGAACTTGCCTGGCTCCCAGCACTTGTCGTTAGAAGTGATCAGCCTGAACAACAAACTTTAACAAATTAATACTGCCAAGTTTTAAAATTTGAGGCAAAATTTAAAAGAAAAGAGAGGCCACAATTTGAGTTTTCCCAGGGCAGCTTATGAAGCAGTTCAGAGCAGCTTATGCAGTAAGAAAATATTTCCCTTCCTGCAATAAAATATTCGTACTTCTAAAGGGCAGGAACAGGAGGAGGTTCCCAACATTTGCTGATATAACAGAAATATTTAGCTGTTTACCACATACAGAAACAGCCAAATTTCAATCTATCACTCAGGTGATATTTTCAGGTAGAAGCCACACATGTCAGTCAGGACAACAGCAGTTTAGCACCTTACAGCCCCTTGGGGGGAACGATGCCCTTATTCCATACAGTAGGTACATCATGTCAGAACAGCACTTTGCTGTAGTATCTAAAAATCTCAACTCCTGTGATGGGCTGCAAGGGTGCAAGACTTGCAGGGAACAGGAGTTTCACAAAGAGAAGCTGACAGGCATGAGAACGTGACCAGATGTTACAGGGTGAGAAAAACTGAAGCTTGTTTCGCCGCAGTGAGCTATGTTCCCTTAACCCCACCTATCCTGACCCCCCTTATGTGTTGAAGTGACCTGCTCTGGAATGCACTTGTTCCATAGGCTCTATGTATGCAGAATTTACGAGACACCTATTAGAAAGCCTGCTCGTGCAGATTTTGTAGGTCATGTACATGCTGTCCTTTCACGCATAGAACAGGAAAAGCCTCTAACCACTGGGAACCTACTCTGCAGCTCTGAAGAAGGGTGGTGGCTCCCCTCTTGCCAGGCTTACCTTTGATGGAAATGGTAAATCTTATGTGACTACCTCAGAAGTTGTTCTGAGACTTGGACACATGCTTCTCAGTATGTACAGCTTGTATAAATACATGAAATGGGAAAGACAAGAGTCACTACGCCCAATTACCTTGGGACTGTGGAATCTCCTTGAATAGCATGTCCTAATAAGGAAAGTAGTGGAAGATCTATTTAGAGCATTTATTTCTGGCTTGGATCACACAACCATGGTCATCTCTGTCTCCCATAACGAGAGGTGCTCTCTTTTGACCTTTTGATCCATCTGCCTTAAACTATTAAGGTGTGCCTGTAGACTGAAGAGCTAGACTTTATGAAAACCAGCTGCTGGGGGGGTGGGTGCCTTTTCCAAAAGCAGCAGCAGATGCAGGAGCTGCTACAGCAGAAAGATACAAAACCAACTTCATTTTGAGCAATTGCTTGGAAACTTGAGCTGAGCAACTGATAGATCAAACAGCAGCAATCCACCCAACTTCAGCTTGAATTGAACCAGAACAGTTTTGCTTTATGCCAAGACCTGCATGGCTCCGGATTTCATAACTAAACATGTAGCCTCTTCTGGTTCATCAGTCTGAAGCTCTCCTACTAGAAGACCACATGACCAAATGCTTTACATACTATCCAAGGTCTCGGTGCTGTCTATAGCAGCCATAGCATACGACTTCTCCCCACCACTCAAATGTATCCTTTTTTAACACCATTCTCTGTCAACTTTGATGTTTTTGATGAAGAAGTAGGATTACAAATGAGTAATCTGTAATTACAAATTACAAAGTATTACAGACTGATCAACCAAACATTAACTGACAACAGCAGATACAACATCTCTCTTGCATAAGCAGAGACGTAATGATGAGGCTTAAAAAAGAACCATAACAGGGAAGAGAAAAGGGAGCCTCTAAAAACAAGGAACTCAAATGGATTGATATTTGTGCTGTTAGACTCAAAAACCCACCAAAATCGAGACAAAAAAAATAAAAATCAGTCTTAAAAATTTATCCTTTATTGAATTAAACAAACCAGAAGCTTATAAAGTGATAAAGTGACATGGTTGAAATTACACTATGACTTGGAATTCTGAAAAAAAAAAAAAAAAAAAAAAAAAAAAAAAAAAACCCCCCCGCCTTATTACATGAACCTGATAAAAATCTTTTCAGTGCAATACTACGATAATCAAGCCTCTGGAGAATGCTTTTTATAGGGACTAAAGTCTATACTTGCATTCTGAATCATCCTACATAGAATTCACCTGACAGCCTACAATGCTTACCGGGGACCTATGAGCTACTGGGAGATGTGACCACTTAAAAGTGCTGTCCAGATTTTTATTTCTTATTTTTTCTTTTAGGCAGATGAAATTAAGTGTAACAGAAAATTAGGTATAAAGGTAGACTTGTTCCTTCTGAATAAGAACAGTTGGTATGAAAAATCAAGCAGTTATTGGAAGTATGAACTGAAAACAAATTTAAATTGGTCATGATAATCAAGCACACGGCTTTGGCCAGAGATCAGTTGGGCAGCACATGTGAGTTGCGTTATGCATCTTCTTCCCGAAGAAAAGCCTCATGGCCACAGTATCATCTATAAATGTCATATATCCTGAAAATTAATGTAATCTTGTTTTTCCACTTTGCCTCTGTATACTTGAGACACTCTGAAACAAAGATTAAAAAAAGAAAAAAATCTAAACTGGATTTATGATGAACTCATTAGCAAGAAACAAGGAATGCTGGAGCTGCCTGTGGTTTGGGAATTGAGGCTATTTCCCATCTGGGGATTGGGAAAGCCAAACTGCTGTTACTGAGGGATTAACCTGCAAAATGCTGCAATGTATAGAATTTAACTTGGGACAAATTCATTAGAGAGAAAAAACAGAACTGAACGGCAAAGCCGGGCAATGAGACAGCAAAGTCTGAAAACAAAAAGTAGGCAGGATCTGCATCAGCAAGGGAACCACAATCTTTGGTTTAGTGCTAATGCACTGGGGCCTTTCCTCAGCAAATTACAGGCTATCTGCTAAGCTCAGGAGGAAATGCACCCTGGAAGATGAGGAGATCAAGTCTCCCACTAAAAGGTACCAAAAAATTGCCTGGGGAATGGCCTCTGTATTCTTCCTGGGGGGAAGCAGCATTCTCCTGCTG